GAGGGTGAAGATATGATCAATACATCCTCGACCAGAACAAAAACCATCCTGCTCCTCGCGAGTCAATCTTTCTCGGGTTTTGAACAACCTACGAAGAATGACGGAAGCCAATAGCTTGGATGCAATCGGAAGTAGACTTATCCCCTGATAGTTGTTACAGGAACGACTTGAACCCTTTTTAAAGATAGGGACAACTATCGACTCATTCCATGACTCTGGTACACTCTCTAGCTCCCAGACCTTTGTAAACAACGTCGTCAGTTCCTTAGACAAAAAGTCACCATCACCTTTAAAAAGAGCCGGAGATAAGTCATCTGGGCCAGGTGATTTGTAACGCTTCAAGAGTTGGAATTCCTTGCGGACTTCCTCCTCGTTTAGAAGGCAGGACAGTTTGACCGATGTTGCTGGAGCAGCAGGCCAGTTGAACTGCCCTTCGAAAAATTCTGCCCATCGTCCAAGACGTCGATGGATGTTAGTGATTGGCATCCCATCATCCTCGCAGATTGTTTCACTCACACCAGACTTCTTGCTGCCAGTGGCTCGGATGAGTTGGAAGAGCTTCCGGTAATTACCAGATGCAGCTGCTGCTTCCAGCTCATTAGCACGCTTTGACCACCAGGCTTCTCGGTCCTTACGCAAGCTTTGCCCAATTTCCTTACATAACATCCTTCGTTTATGGTCAAACTCACGGTCACCCGGAGTAGACTGACGGGCTTCAATGAGTTGTAAGGAACCAGAAGAAACCCAGTGCTTATAAGCGGGATGTTTCGCGAACCCACAACTGACTGTTCCCGCCATTTTCATGGCGTCATGCAATTGCAACCAATGCTCATCTATACTTTTCGGTGGAGTGGTTGCTAGCCTAGAGGCTAGCTCGGTTCGATAATCACTTCCAACAGAAGTTGCAACGAGCTTGCTAATATCAATCCGTTGATGGCGGTCACTTCGTTGTCCACTGAAAAGTAAGGCAAGATTTGCGCAGACCAAGGCATGGTCAGAGTCCAGATAGGTACTCCAAAAGGAGCGGGAGTCTTGTACACAACCACGCCAGCGGTAGCTGATCGCGATGTGATCAATCTGAGTCCAGGCTTGAGATGCAGAGGGAGGACGCCAGGTGGCACATCGGCGATGATTGTGCCGAAAGTTAGTGCTAGCCAGAAACAGGTTGTGGTCTGTGCACAGTTTCAGTAGACGGTCCCCGTTATCTGACCTGCGACCAACGAGTCCCCATCGGCCACCTAAACGACTCTCTTCTGTGCCTAAACGCCCGACCTGAGCATTCAAGTCTCCGGCTAGTACTACAATATCTGTCGAACGCACTTTCTGGAGAAGAACAGATAACTGGTGGTAAAACTCATCCTTGATTGCATCCGGGCTGCAATTTGTCGGGGCATAGGCGGAGATGACGAAAAGACATCGTTTCTCAAGCCGATTTCTTCTCACTTTGATGGAACTTTCTAATCTAACAGCACATAACCGACTGTTAATGGGGATCCAATCGACTAGTGCTGCCTCAGCTCTAGCGCTTAGTGCGACACCAACGCCAGCAAGACCAGACGAAGATGCCACAGGGTCCCCGGATAAGCGCACGTAAAACAAGCTTTTTGAAGCGACAGATGAAGATCGAATTTGTAGTACTTCACCAGAGTCTTGAATACGGGTCTCGGATAGACAACAAACATCAATATTAAGACTTTCCAAAGACATAGCCAGCCCTATCTATTGTCCGACCTGCATAAATGTGCGAACGTTGAAGGCAGCCAGTTTGAATGGTGCACGTGGTTTCAGAAAAACTGCTTCAGTTCTCGTATTCGGTGGTAACATACAATTTTCAACCGGACAGTGACTCGAGAACGTTTAGATATAGTCGAATTTCCACCAAAGACGAGCCGCTGTATAAGTATAAAAGAGGGTGAATAATGTGGAAAATAATAATAACAATAATAATAATAATAATGACAACAATGGTAATAATAATAATAGTATTAATAATGACAATAATTGTAATGATAATAATTTGAATCAATTGATTGTTTTTCGAAGCGAGAAAAATAATTTCCATAGACATAAAGAGTTCATCATTTGTGTGTGGGCTGTGATACTGCCCGGGTGCCCAAACCGAAGCAGGTGGTTATCTTAGGGGGCCACTCCCCAAGCCTTTGACCTAAAGGTCTAACCCACAAGGCAGTGGAGCATCGTAAGGAGATGCAATCCCATGGAAGCCGGTGACCAAGAAATTGGTTCATACGCCATTTGTTCCTTCAGGATACTGGAGCTCATGTGCACCATTGATTTAGTTTGGGATCCGGTTAAAGCGCCGGACATTCGCTTTTCGTCCTCTCATTTTCGTAAACAACACCCTCGCCACGAGAAGGCAATGAGTAGGACTTCCCTGGCAGAGGCTGTATACGCGCGGCCGTGTGAGAGTATTTCGAGAGGGAGAGCGGACTCTTCTCACTCGGCCGTACCAGGGCATTCGGGGGCGTCGAAGACGCTGATAAAATTCAGTCTTTTTGTAGCACTGAGCAACAATGCCAGGATGTTTGGAATGCGCTTCCCTCCCTCTAAATGCAAGTTGTTTCTTCAGGACTGGCCTGCGTAAACACATGAACTAAGGACAGGCAGTGAAGTAGTCGGAAGCATCCACAACTTCACTTATCTTGGAAGCCTGACCAATCCTAATGGATTAGCGTCTGACAAAATCTGTACGCGGATTCAAAAAGCTCGTTTGGCTTTTTTTAACTTACGTCACCTATGGCGAAGGCGAGATATCCGTCTATCAATTAAGGGACGAGTATACTGTGCGGCAGTCCATTCTTTTCTACTTTACGGTTGCGAAAAGTGGCCATTAATAGTAGAAGACGCTCGTAAGCTACTAGTATTTTACCATAGATGCCTTAGAAATATTGCTCGCATCTTCTGGGATCACTGGGTAAGTAATAGTTAGGTTAGACCTAGGGTATTAGGAAATGATGGTAAATCAGTTGATGAGGTTATCAATCTACATCGACTGAGGTGGTCGGGCCACGTGTTGCGTATGCCTGAACACCGATTACCACGATGCGCAATGCTGACTAGTTTTGGGGATGGTTGGAAGAAAGTTAGGAGTGGCCAAACCAAAACTTGGCATCAGTGCTTAAAGTCACTAACTTCTAGTCTTAGTCATGTTGTTAGATGTGGAATACTTGGCTGGGGTCCGCACGACTATCATAACCAATGGTTGAATACTCTGACGGCTCGGAATCGATCACAATGGCGTAGTTGTTTATACTCTTTGTCTTCCCTGAGAATAAATACTTTATACTTTTCTTTCTATGAAATGATTCTTTCTTCCTGCATCATATCCGTGTACGAAATGTTTTGAAGTAACCGCTTCTATGAATTTGGTGTTATTCATCTTGTCATGCTATTGAGTTATGGCAACTTGGACCGATACGAATGTGTTTTGTCCCGCGTTTTAGCTGACTAATAGCTGTTGACATTGTCAAAACAAAATCACCTATTGTTATTCAACCGTTAATGCCAACGATGTTTAAATCCTCTATAAAAATAAAATAAAATCCTTTGAAGCCTTATCTGTATCCGTTGTTAGTCACTGGCTGTTAGGTTCCTTGTAGACCGTTTAAATTTTTTTAGGAGGTTTCACTTGAATCATTGGAAGTTTCGGTATCCAATGCAGTTTCACAGTCACTATTTCCGTCCCCAGCAAGCGTTGGTTCTCTTTTATTAAGCACCAAACTACCTAAATGTTCGTTTTTTAATGTAATAGGGCTCACTAAAGCAAGAATAGCGATTACTCATCAATAAACAGCATAGGATCTAGCAAATTCGCATAAGCCCAAGCCAACATATCACACTTTGAACACGTTAATTTAGAGTAGCTTTATATCTCAATCAGCAAGTTTCAAGTGGGTTTTTTCCAAGGAGTTGAACTAAAAACGCAACATCCATCATAAACTTTGCATGATGCAACTCATCACGGTGACCGTGCTGCATCAGTTTTGTGCCAAAATAAATTTTAAATCAAGTCCACGGAAAGTTAGTAGTATCAAATCACTTTGCAAATCCAAACATCTGTTTTGAAGGACTATCCACTGTGGTACTTTCGGTACCGGTAATCCAAAAACGTATTATCTACAATAATGTTGAGAGAGATCCTGTGTTTGTTGTAATGGACACTTAAGATAGTATTATTGTGTTGGGGCCAAGTACAATTCCTATAGTATACACTAGTGACCTGGAGATGTTTGCCAATGTACGTACTGTACTACTTAAAAGATATGATTTTTCCTGCCCCTCTGCTATGCCGTTGTAAAGCTTAACCGGTAGACAATACTCAAATGGGTTGATGTATCTGATGTAACCCCATGTTATGGCAAGGTCGGTTGATTGCTTTTTCAACCTCTTCCAATCCATCGATCGTACCATATTTGGAAGTAGTATCTCCGTTCTTCAATCACTTAAGTTTCGAAATGTCGTCCGCTGATCTACTCCATTCTAAACTTCACTTGCGTTTACAATAATACTACACATGGTTCGCTTAACTGTGGAAACGCTCCCAAGGTAAATATGGTCGAATAATTGTAGATTCAATGTGGTGCCCGTCTGTATTTGCTGTAGTACGTTGGTGACAATAAAATGCTTTAGTTGTTGGTGTGTGTGGTTAGTTTAATATTTGGCAAGCGAGGAATATGCTAGACGATTTCAGACGTTCGCTTTCCCAGAAATCTGGTGCAAAATCAGACTCAGTTCCTTTTCAAACCAATGATAATGAGTTGTAGTGATAACTTGGGTCATGACACACTATTCCACACCATTCACAAGGTGAATTCACGCAAAAATGTAGATTATATTTAAAAATACAAGTAATTCACATACTCTGTAAAAACAATAGCATGTTAGTTATGAACAAATGACAATCAATACACTATATCAACTATTCTTATTCATCCAATTTGTTATCATGCATCATAGGCTACAGTCAGGCAAAATGTTCAGATTTATTTTGGTTCCTTATACTGTTCTGTGTTTATCCATTGTAATTTCAACTGTTTACTTGTGAGATCTAATTTGCAATTAATTTTCATTGTTTGGAAGTGTAGATGGATTTTATTAAATCGATAAATTTTCAATGTTATAATATCATTTAATTTTATTGACATTGGTTGAAAAGGTGGTGCATGCACATGTTTTTCTCCAGACCATTTCCATATCCTTGTGTATCTATCCAAAAGTTGCTTGAAATAGACACCTTCATTATGATTATACTGTAATCTAAAAGAAATAAATTCCCTTGTGTTAGTTACTGTCATGGTTTAACACTTCATGTATAAGTTATCATGGTCTATATACTTGAAAATAAAAATAGTTGACTAGTGGCTAAAACACTCACATATCATCTAAGCAGGTAGTAAGTTCAGTTTGGCCAGCTGGGTAGTATCACTAATAAATAAAAGCTGATTTCATGATACTGTATTTGGTAAATGCGTTCAAACAAACTGGCTAATAATTTCTAATCTCTGCGTTGCTTCAAACGGTAATAAACAAAGTCAATGTGTCAAACTTTCAGCTTTTTTCAAAAACACAAATGAGGTCCGATTTTAGTTTGAATGTACTGAATTTACATGTTAATTAAGCTGTTTGTCAATTTTATGTAGTCTGAATTGTGTACTTATCCGTTGATAAAGATCTCATTTATATGCTATATTAAATAAACAACTAATAACGTCAAATATATTAAATGGATAACTGTCTTCTGATTTGGATGCGTGAGTTAAGATTATGTCTCAAATAAAACTCTTTCTGCAATCCATTCACTTGTTACTACTTGCTATCAAAATTTTTAATGGTTTTCGCTAATAGGGAAACTGTCGAACAATAAGGTTATAAAAACTCACTGGTTGTTTCAAGAACTTTATTGTTCATTAACTGACTAATAACTCAATTGAACTATGTGGAGATATATATTGTCTTAATAGTTCGATATTCAAAATCTTCATTGGTTATTCATTGCGTTTTAGGGATCAGTCTCGTGAAGTAGTATTCTTCGTTAATAGATTCAGAAATACTTTTTCATTTGGTGACAATCTTAGTTACAGAGAAATATCGATTGTGGTTGGTTTCTGTCCCATATATAGAGTTTTTTTTAAATTGATCTGCCTATTTGTACTACCCAGTGCATGGTTCGATTAGCTAGTGTTTTGCTGAAATTGGTTTCCCTAATGGTTCAGTTCGTTACGTGTATTCAAAATGTCCTACTTAATTTGTGAGAATTTTCTGTTGTCACATAATGATATATCATTATTAGACCAATGTTGATCAAAATACACCCTATGGGAATATTTCGGCCTAACACTGCATTCCATCTTAGGTTGTCAAACCATTTAGATATCTGCATAACAGCGGTCGAAAGTTTAAAATTACTTTAGGGGAATATGACACTATATGATATTGAAAAGCGAATTCAATCTACTGTTACTACAACCGGAAAAACGTAACCATGTTCATTTCTCGACATCAAATACAAATAGTTTCGCCAGTATCTGTATAGGAATAAAATTGCTATGTTTAAGCACCAAAGAATGAATTTTCAAAGCGTTTGAGTCATTTATAAGAATATTGGCTAAAATTTAGACGAAAAGTTCGAAATTTGAAGTTGTATTTGAATAATTTCAGCAACTGGAATTTAAATGAAATATCCAAAAAAAACTACAAAAGGAGCAACCGTAATAAGATAAGTTAATGTTTATGAGGTAATTATTGACAGTGACTAAACTTTATCATATTAATTTGAATTAAACAATAACTACCGTATATTGTTTTCCTTGTCATAAACTACCCCATGAATATTGCTATCGAACACACCGATTAATTGGCCAACAGTTGATTGTACATCGACATTGATCAATTTATTCATTTTACTGGTATTATTATTTAACACTTTAAAAGAATTAGACTTTTGTTTATGATTTATTTTTGTATCTTCTTTTCGAACTTTTGTCATATTCAGATGTAGTAGATCATGTACAATGAATAGTAGACCAACTGGCTCATTATTATTAGTGTTCATTTCGCTAGGTAGAAACAAGATTGCTGGATTACCAGTTGGATAACTGAATGTTGTGAATATTTGTTAAGGAGTTTTGTATTATTTTATACCACAGAACAAAAAAAATTGAGATTTTTATAAGGTTGTTCGACCTAAGGTACGATTGATCATGAAATAATATTCATAATTAGTTTCATAAACAATAACTTCTTGGAAAATGACTTACTAGGTGAGAGCTTTATTATGTTAACAGACTTCTATAAGATGTATTGAGCAGAATATTTAATAAAGATTATATAAATTTACAGCTTTCATTCTATCACTTTACTTGAAATTAGATGTTACCAATAAAAGATATTGATAAGCAAAAATGACAGTGAAAGAGTGATATTGAATTTCGTCTGGGTAGAATGTAGACGTTGCCTTGTTATTATTTATAAGGGGTCAAACAAAATCGAGACCTGTGCACATACCTAGCTCTTGACTGTATTTTAGTCCCAATTACTCGGTTAACACAGAGAAAAGTACTTCTCATTTTATTTATGATAAATGACATTATAATCATGTAAAAAATATACTTTGAATATGTGAGCTTTTGTTTTGTAGTTGACATCATCTAAAGAAGCCATGTAAACCCAAATGCCATTGAATCCATATTTCTCTGTAGTATAGGACTCACTAGCGGCGCGCATCCATGACCCCCCTCAAAAACTGAATGCAGGAACTCCAAGTCTCGTGATGAGTGCCTAACCTTCACATATCTGAGTTGGAATCTGATAGCCCGGATCATTAGATAACCATTGAAAACCTGAAAGCACTTAATGACTATTTCGTCCTACTATGGGACTTCTCGGCAGTGAAGACTAGACATTACGCATGCAGAAGGTTTAGCACATAAACCCCTGAGCTGAGACCAGTGGTGTACAAGTTTAAGTCCAAAAGGTCGACGGTATTGCTCAGCCACCTCTCATTCACAGAAACAAATGCAGATGAAGACAGTCAGTGTAGCACCAACCTCTGTAGCAGTAGGTTCCAAAATTCATAAGGGAAAACCAAGATCCTAAAATACAACAGTGAGTACAGACCTAATCTCACTTGATGGAGAAACTCAGAAGAGGTGAGAACTTTTATGTACCTAGTCAGCATCATCGATGAACAAGGAGGATATGATGCAGGTGTAAAGGTAAGGATTGATATAGCGAGAGCGTCATTCTCACAATTGAAGAACATACGGAAATCAAAACAGCTGTCGGCCAACTACTACAACCATCATAAAAAAATACAAATAGTTTCAAACAATTGTCTACGCAAGATACTGAATGTCAGTTGACCGGATACCATCAGCAACAACAAAACAACTTTCAACTGAAGAGGAAATTGGGAAGAGATGCTCGAGGTGTACAGGAAATACATTGCGGAAATCATCCAGTTGTATCAAGTGATAACTTGAAATCCCGAAGGTAAAAACAAAAGAGAAGGACCCGATAACACATTGCATAAGGAATGGGAGAGAGACATCAAAAGAATAAAAAGCACTTGGGAACAACTTGCAATGAGCGCACACGATAGTGTAGGTCGGGGGTTGTTGGTCAGCGGCCGATGCTCATTGAGGGGTAACAGGTTTAAGTAAACAATCATCTTCCATTGTCTTTGGTGAGTATATTCCTGTTACCCGACAAAGTTTAGTACAACTGCTCATAGCTTCTCACTGGAAATCCGAAAATTTCTTAGCAGGATTCTAAGACAGTCTACATGACAGGCGGATTTTAACTAGCCAACTATTAAAATCCAAGTAGCGTTGAGTAATTCTTTCGTTCGAAAATAGAACTCTCCAGTATTCGGCACTTGAAAATAACCGAAACTACGACCTAGTGATTTAGAGCAACGAGTGCGGTACCTTTAAATCGCTAAGTTGGCTTCCTCATCAAGACGTAAAATATCTAGTGAATAAAACGCTATATCAAGAAAATCCACACAATATTCACATTTAATGAGAATGATCAATTAAGATCAGCCCCCAATATTAACTATAAGATGATTCACATTTTTAAAACTAATTATATAAACACATTCAGTGAACAACTCAATAACAATTTGATATCGGCAGCTTAACGGATAACAAAGCGTTTGAAGTGAAGGAAACTGGGTTTGTGTCTCAATGTGAACATCAACACTGGGACGTAGCTACATCCAGCTAACGTTCCCCAAATATTGGTTAGACGATCGCTGCGAGTCCTAAGCTCGATACCTCGTAAGGTTTTTGTGCATGGTAATGAGGAGTCTCATAAGAAAGTAAAACAGCAGTTCAATGCTCTTTGCTTTTCAATCGCAAACCAACCAACAATCTGTGACGTATACGACGTCCAGATAAAAACAATCTTCAGAAAACCCCTTAAAGCAAACCAATCATTTACACTTAATTATGCTTTGAATTACTAACCGGTCACAAAATTTAGCGAAAATATTAAGATAATATACTGTTAATTTATATGCTACTATTTATACTTGTCTTAATTTAATTCAGCTATTTACTTATTCTGAAGTAGCGGTTTATATTAAGTCATGAAACGTCAAAAATACAATTTTTCTACTCATTTTGATAAAACAAAAAATATATTCATTATTTATTATAAGATTTACATTCGATTGTTAAGTCAATACTCTAGTTCAGAACCATCACGAGGATCTAAATTTTTCTTTGCTTAATTTGTAGTTTTAATATACTAATCGAAATACTTAATACATTAATATACTTTGCATAGTTACTATTAATGAATAATAACTGTCTGAGTATCAGAATTATACATTATTTCTTGGCGACATATCAATATTTTTTTATTTCACTGTAGTCAAAGAAATAATGTAAAAATCGTGTTATGAGCTATTCTACAATCATTCAATTTATTCTCTATTGACATCTTCAAAATTTTAAAATTTTACTAAGCTCATTCATTTCCAAGGAAATTCGAGCTTATTTCGATTAAGAGATTTTGTGGAGATTAATTCTTGGATGATTTCTATAATAGATCATTATAATTATGTAATCAATAGTAACTTTGTTGCTGATGGATTCTTGAGACTTCATAGAAAACAACTTTTAATACATTTTGGTCTCATAAATACTAGAATGTCATAATAATCAAAAATGTCATAAAGTTTATATTTGCTTCTAAATAATTCTTTTTTCCTTTCTAGTCTTTATGCCAACAGAGTTTTTCAAATAAATAGAATTCTTTTGTATGAAACAACACTCAGGTGAGTTGTAGATATATAAACTTGTCAGTACATTCAAACTCATTGAATATCATTCTAATACTGATTTGTTGCTTGTATATCTGCAAAGTAGAGTAAGTTCGTGATTGAAATACTTGGTTGTAAGGCTGAAAACATGAACTATCTCCCTCTCACTATCTACTTAATTGTAGTAAACAACCAAATTGTTTTAACAGATTTAACAAAAAGTTATTCACCAATGTCGATTACATGAGTATGTAATTAATTATTGAAGCCTTAAGTCATTTACGTCTTCAATGTTCATTAAGTGTGCTGTATCCAGTAATTTTTCTTATTTTCCTTATCAATTAGTAGCTGTATGCTGCATATTGCAATGTAAATTTCACTGAAGTTTTTATCTTAATCATCTCAAGTTGTCAGCATTTGTGTGTTACGGAAATATCAGTGTAGCGCACCCCAATATTCGGGATGAAAAACGAATATTGTCAAAATCAGGGTTTAAAATATAATCTGTAAATTGAACGAGTATACATCACACCCTCACTAAATAAACAGAAAAAATGATTGAAGTTTATGGATACAACATACAATTATCGAACATTGATAATGTTGAGGATAACCTTAATTATTATGTAATGCTGTATTCTATGTCTTCAAAAGTTCCAATTTAATGAAAACTATTGTAACTGCTTAAAAATCTTGTGACTTAAGGCAATATCGAGGCAATCCGCACAGGATGCACATATGCCAACATAAGACTGATCAATTGCAGTCCTAAATAACAATGGGAAGATACAAGTAAAACAACACCAAGTGAATTTAAACTTCACCCCATTGCACAGGCAAATAGCTATCAGGACTCAGTAGCTAAGTGGATAACGCGGTGGCGTTTGAAACGAACGGTACTGGGTTCGAGTCCCGGAGTGAGCATCACCTCCGCGACGCAGGTACATCCAGCTAAGGAGTCTCAGATAGGACGAAATGCACGTCCTGAGTCCCACTGTTAGCCACCATCCACTTTTGTTTAATAAATGCTTAGTATTTGTTAGGAAATACTAATTTTTCTCCCTAAAACATCATAAAAAAATAGACAAAGAGCACTTAACTTAGTTTTAGCTAGTTAGTACTTCTGGTAATTTATCGTAAATTCTAAAAGCACATATGTATTTATCTTTTTTTTTAATAGTCGAACACTTAAATTACCACTAATTTTGACAACTTTTGGGGAGCTTTAAAATGTTACTCATAACTTTCGATATAATCGTTGATATCAATAACCAAATTTTAACCATCGTGTTGTCATCTTGAGGATGTGTAGACTACTGAGTGTACAAATCTATCCAAGAAGTCAATGTCGCAAGCATTTATTGAACTATATATATGATGTCACTTATAATTATAACTGCTTCAATAATCCTAAATAAAAATTCGGTTGTAGAAAGAACGATTTCGATTAGTAGACCTATAGGGTTATAGTACACATTGGAATCAATTTTAGATTAAGCCAAATAATAATATCAATTTAAATCTAAGAAGAATAAAACTTACCTGTTTGTCAATTTGTACAAATAATTCACAAAAGTACCATGTTTGATAGCTAACAGTTGAAATTTCTTGTTTAAAGCTACTTCAGTCAGTTTAAACACTGAATTTCGAAAGTCACTAGTGTTAAATTCGAACTCCCTAACTTTGACTCCATGGTTGATTCATTTTTCCTTTAATGATGTGTTAGATGTACTTCATCAAGTTAACTGTACCTGATCAACTTGAGTAAATATCAGTCATAAATAAATATTTCAATTAAGCTTAACTACGCTGTGGATGCAATGATAAATATATTAATACCTCTAAGGTTATGGCGGATACATGAAAACAAAATGCCTTTTCACCCAGTCAGTCATGTGCAGTGTAGAGCAAGACACATTTGTGCATCGATTTAAGTTGCCAGATCATATTAGGGTTACTTGATTATGCCTACTACTCCTCGTGGAGGAGCATAGGCCGCCCACCAGCGTTCTCCATTAAACTGTGCCCTGGGCAATCCTTTACAGTTGCTATTCATCCTTTCAATGTATACTTCTGATTCCCGACACAGTGTGTTCTTTAGTCTTCCTCTATCCCATTTCCTTTCAGGATTCCAAATTAGGGCTTGCTTCGTGATGCAGTTTAGTGATTTACTCAATGTATGTCCTGTTCACTTCCAGTGACTTGTCCTAATTTCCTCCTCAACTGGAAGCTGGTTTGTTCTCTCCCATAGTAGGCTATTACTGATGGTATCCGTCCAAAGGACATTCAGTATCTTACGTAGACAATCGTTTATAAATACTTGTACCTTTTTGATGATGGTTGTGGTAGTTCTCTAAGTTTCAGCTCTATACAGTAGAAATGTCTCGACGTTCGTATTGAAGATTCTCACTTTGATGTTAGTTGACATTCGTTTTGAGTTCCACATGTTCTTCAACCATAGGAATGCTGTCTTCGCTTTGCCAATCCTCACCTATACGTCTGCATCAGATCCTCCACGTTCATCGACGATTCTTCTCAGATACGCGAATGTTTCAACCTGTTCCAGAGTCTCTCCATCAAGTGTGAATGCTTTGGTGTTCTCCGTGTTGTATTTGAGGATCTTGCTTTTCCTCTTGTGTATGTTGAGGCCTACCAATGCATAGGCTGCTGCTACATTAGTTGTCTATATCTGTATTTGTTGATATGTATGAGATAGAAGGGCTAGGTCATTTACGAAGTCCGAATCGTCTAACTGCATCCAACCTGTCCACTGTATTTCGTGCTTTTTCTCAGATGTGAAGGTCTCCATAATCTAGTTAACCACCAGAAGAAAGAGACAGAGGGAGAGTAGGTAGCCTTGTCTGACTCCGGTCCTTACTTGGAATGCGTCTATCAGTTGTCCTCCATGCACGATTTTGCAGTTTAATTCATCATAAGAATTCCGTATGGTGTGGGCTATCTTCTCAGGCACGCCGTAATAGCGAAGAAGCCTCCATAGTGTTACCCTGTCCATGCTATCAAATGCTTTTTGGAAGTCAATGAAGTTGATTTAGAGTGGTGAATTCCATGTATAATGACAAGTTTCATTAAACTGATCGTTCAACGATGGTCTGTGGTGTCGCGATTCGGTCCGTGTACGACCGATTCTTACGGAATTCGGCCTGTTGATTTCGAAGTTGGGCGTATATTTTATGAATATTTATATGAATATTTTCACCTTGATTTTCACATTGAATGTAAAGTACATCCTAGTCCTAGTATTATAAACCAGTCGTTCATGCTTACTGATTTCTGACTAGCTGAATGAATAAAAATTTTCCAAGATCATTTGAGGGATCGTTTAATTCCAGTTGTATATTCTGCTATCACCATTATTTTATCCTTCCTCACGACTAATCGGTGATGCATCACAGAGTGAAGAAGGCTACTAATGTTTTGGAGATATTGTCAATGTTATACTGTTGAAGAGTTTCTAGTTAAGACGAAATAACATTTCTTCAGTTTTGCTTTTGTCTAGCTTTCAAGACTACAAAAGAAAAGGATACAATATGACTCCTGTATTGTCGTTATATTTTCGTAAAAATACTTCACCATTTGAATATGTATGTTGTATAAAATCAAGTTGTATTTCATTCGACTCATGTTTTACTTCATCTGAGTTGATATGCATTGATTTGCCTTCATTAACTAATAACAATTCGTCATTATTATTATCACTGTCACTATGTTGTACATGATTCACTGCAGTCCATCCTTGTTCAATATACTTACGATTTGATAATTGATAAACGATTCTATCTGTTTAAATAAGAAGGATACCAACAAAAAGAATATTGAATTAAGTTTTGATCAAAAGTGAGACTTTATATTAAATGATTTTGACGTAATAATTCATTATTTAAAAAAATGTTAGAGACAAACATTAGGTAATCGGTAGTAGTCGGATGGTAGCGTTAAACTTTATTTTCATGCTAGTTGGTGGTCATCATCAAGGTGTGCTTAGAATATAAACAAATAACTACAATTATAATAGCTTATGTAAACTGATTAACCAATTACTTGTTTATGAACTCATATTGCATCCACACGGTTTGTATGTAAAGACTAGTGATACCATCCAGAATATCAAACTGAAATAAATGAGTTGAAACCTCCGGTCGACTAGTTCAAAGCTGAATACTGTAATTGATAAGCAACTACTTCAGTTAGAACCTATTTACTTGGATGCTAATTTACAATTGTTAAGAAACGCTAAAAAAATTCTTCTTCAGAATAATTTAAGCAAAGTTTATTTTTGATTGGTTTTTATCAAGAACTGATATAATTTGTGATAATATATCTAGAATAAGAGAGCACTGGACAGGTATATCGTTCTATGAGACTCATGATCAGTATGAACTGACAACCGTATCAGGCATCAAACTCAGAAGCATCTAGCCTAGTGGCGAGCTACGAAACTCCAGATCATGGTTATCTCGTGATCGAGAGGGACAGATATCCAATGTCGTAAACTGTGCACTACTGAGGGCTTCCATACTAAAAAGGAAGTTTTATAGTAATACCTTCGTTTCACTGATTTTAATTTGTGACAAAAGCCACTTACAAATCAAATATTGGGAATGTTTCAACAAACTTTCTTTGTTACTACGAAATCTATCCGAGTTTCTGCATTAAACTCTAACTGAAATCGTGGATCTCAATCAGTGACTTATATGATACGTATTATTGCTTTAAATAAACTGTCAGTCACCCAAATTTGTAAAGTTTTCGATATATATTTTACTCATTGAAAGTTAGGTTGTATGTGGCTAGTAAAATCTAGATATGTCGGCAGTGAAACAGTTGTTATGGGGAGTGTCACTTACTAAGTGGTAATATTTTTAAGGATATCGATCTAAAATATTTACTAGATGCTTACAGTATCTAAAAACGTGACTGGTTTTTGATTGTGAACATTTTAATTCCTGGTGAGGATTACTTCAAGGGTGTTGATCCATGACCCCATTTACTAATTTCAAGAGGTAATATCTGGAGTTTCGGTGGGTGGAGTTGTTATGTCTGTGAAAAATAATGCTGCGGATTAAGGGGTAGCGAATTATTGATCGGACCAAAAACGCACAAACACGTAGAACGACCTAGGGTTCTGATTGGTCCTGCTTCCCTGTCCAGCCTAGCCAGTTGAGTCCAGAAGACAAGTCACAACCTCTGAGATATGAATCACTATATTTCAAACATACTTTGTTTATATACCAGTCAAGCATACCACAGCGTACCATAAAAATAGAAAACAACATTTTGTACAATATTCACAAGTGAACAGATATCGACCAATAGAAAATGTCCATTTAAAGTCCAAGGACACCATTGGACTTGGCATGATAATTATTGGTCTATTCCTGCGCATCCACAACAGGAGTCCAGCAATGTTGAATGTCAAGTAGTTATCCAGAAAAGGCACTGGAAGATAGCTATAAAATGTCACGAATTTATCCAAGTTGGAAGTGCGGATAAATTTTTGCCGACTTAGCCGTCTTAATGTTTGGTCCTTGTGATAGCACCTGAAAATCATGGGTTTGATCTCTCATGTGGTCATGAATGCACACTGTCGAAGAATCTCGTATTGAACTGAGACAACCGCCTGGCACCTGGATTTCAATGGCCGCCTAATCAACATCAGTTCATAATGTAAGCTATTAGATTCAATAATGTTCAGAAACCCCCAATATTAATAAAAAAGACGATAATCAGAGTAATCATAGTAATTGTACATGGTTCGGCAATTTCTTATTCAAAATGAATAAAATTATGTTCATATTAGTTATACTTCTATATTTGTCAAATCTTAATAACTGTATTAGTATATAATAACTTTGTTCAAGAATATGACTAATGAAATTCAAGTTTTTCATCACAAACTGATGTAACTTTAGTGACTAATGATTAACGGATCCGGAACACGACACCATTATTGCTGAAAGTAAAAGATAATTTTTGAATGCCTATATTGTTTCAGGAAAGGAACTTTAAAATGAATCTTCTATCATGTATCTTTCTAATTTTGCTTTTATTCAAAGGGTGAAGTTTATGACTACTCATAAATTGGTAAAAAATCGAAGTTGTAAGATCTCAGTCTGTAGAATGTAATATTTCTAAGAGATTACTCAAAAACCTTTCAGTTCCTTGTAGAATAGCATGAATTCATTTTATTTCGTTTGGTACTCGTCAGCTGCTTAAAACCTGTGATATTTGAAAATCATAATTTCAAAACGGGTTTAAATTACTTACATAAAAGAGTTCAGTTGGAAGTTATTTTGAAGACACTTCAGTATAGTACAACAAGGATGTAAGTAATTTAAACCCATTTTGTAATTATGATTTTCAAATATCACAGGTTTTAAGCAGCTGACGAGTACCAAACGAAATAAAATAAACTCATGCTGTTCTGCTAGAACCTTTGTTCTTGCTGATTTACAAAACATCCATATGTTGCGAGAATCTCGATACTATCTAACCACTGAAGTAAAGTTCAATTTATGGTAAGTTGAGTCATTATAAAGCATCCTTAGTAACACATCCATATTATTTATCAATTTGATAAAATTTACATACTATAATTCACCTTTAACGATCCAGAAAATCTGCAGTAAAGCAAATTCTCAGTTCATTATGCCATATGGCATTTGGATTTATTAATGCGAAAATCCCTATTCAGATATGTACAGAAAGAAAAGACGGTTTCATTGATTGCTGATCATAATAACAGTTGGTATTACGCCTAATAATTTCTTTTATTAATATTCAAACCATTCTACTTATTAAAAATCATTAATGATATAATTCGGAATTTATAAATCTGCGAAATAGAACAAGGAGTTAAATACCAGAGAACATCTAGATTGTACGATAATTATGATACAGTGGGCAAGTTAGATATTAGTCGGATGTTAAGTGCACGTAATTGGCCAAGATATGACTTTCTATTCTAAGGAATGAGACACTCCACTGGAGGAAAAACGGTGATTCGGTTTGCCAATAAAAAACTTCTTTCTCACGCTCTCAGTTTTCACACTCAAATGAATGGTTGAACTCACGAACAGGAAGTTTGTTTATCAATTTTAGGTAGGACATCGCTCAATACAACAAACTACTTTAATACTGTGACGGATATTATAAAAGTGTTCAAGATAATTTATCATATGATATCACTGTATACTATAGAGATTTATAATGATCATAATAGAAGGATACTGTTAGCTTGAGGCAAATAAGTGGGGGAAGACGGAGAAGTATTATGTGAATTTTTACCGCGTACTTAATAAATGATTCAGTTATACTTTTTTTCATATTACTCTTATTGTAAACATTCATTTATTAACTGCTGCCATTTTTTTCCCAAGAATTTTTTTAAATTATCATCAATTGATCATGAACTTGTGATTCAGATTACATTCAGTGAATACACTAGTTGGTTATTTACTGTAATTTCTTATCTGTGATGTGTTATAATCAGAAATTAGGTGTACAATAAGCCAGTAAGTTTTTGATTGAACATGACCGTAATTATAGTATAAGAATATAAATTAGTTCTGTTTGCCATTTTTGTTTTCTAAATGACTACTGTAAATAACAGTTCTCGGTGAAATTAAGAGTTATGATAGAGGTCTTTGTTTAGCCACTCGTGTTTTGGTTGAAAAGAGGATCATTAGTCAGATAAAGTGAGAATGTTATTAGCAGATCCAAATATCAAGTGACCCGATCGAACGGGCAACAGAAGAAAGTCTGAACTTACAACTAGTACAGATTGATGATTGTATTCAACAAAATGATACAGTAGTTGATTACCGTCCAAATGAACCGGTAACAGGTATGAGTGCAACATGAACAACCCTATGCTAAAATTTATCATGTGCTCACTGGTGACTAGCTTCGAGAGAAAATTTCCGCAGTTCTAGTGGAAACCTGTGACCAGAGGAGCTAGATCGTATAGGGTATGAGGCAGTTACCCACCGAAGACAATGGAGGATGGTCGCGCAATGTCATGGATTGGTTGGAATTGGACTTGTACACTGTTGGATGCTAGCTCAATGGTTTATAGGTTTAGTGTTCTTGAGGGACCGAATGTCTTGGGTTTGGTTCCCATATGCGGGGTTGTGAATGCTCACTGCTGAGGAGTCCCATATTGGAACGAAACGGCCCTCTAGTGCTTCCAGGTTTTCAATGGTTGTCTAACTTTAGTCGGCTCATGAGTTTAAAGATATTCAATGGATTTATAGTACTGTACAAAGTATACCATTCGGTGAATATTGTTTACGTAATGGTCGTATTTTTCATTTGGTAATGTTAACAACTGCAATTGATCAGACTCTGTTGATAAACATACATCGTAGGCGGATTGCCTTGATATTTTCATTTAGTCACACATCCCTAAGTAGGAATAAACGGACGTCCTGAATTTCACCGTTAGATACAGTCAAACTTTACTGAAATTCACGTTCTTGTTTTGCCTAAGTTTATGAAAGGGAGGTAACTGAAGTATAAAAAAGACATTTTTTAACTACTGAGAATAACTTTCTCTGGGATATAATAAAACTTGAAACTTCTATCTGAATATTTTATATTCAAACTAGTGACCATTTCAAACTTGGGATAATGTACAGTATAGTTAAATTAAATGATTAATATTCTAAAAGAAAATTCAATCCTATATCATAAATCATTCTTATTAGTGAAGTCAAGATGGATATAAGCTTGCGGTTGAATCTAGGAAGTCTGTTTCTTCCCATTCAGGACTGCTTATCAACTAGATGTGACTGCATCCATGTAATGATTTTCACTCCAATTCTCGAATCCAGTACATCTTGCTTCAAATATCCAGTGAATGATCTATTGAGCTATTGAGTTCAAATATCCACTAGCTTGTGCAATGAGAATTAATTTTATATTATTCATGTTATCAGTTATTGAAACTATTTGTTGTAATTGTGAACTGTTTCATTTCACATGATATTGTAGATTATTATGTGAAACTCTTTTTAAAAAAAGATCATATCCAGTTAATCATTTACTTTCAATCTGATTATGTATTGATTACTTTCAATAAAAATAATATTTTTTTGTACCCATCAATTCTGTAAGTAATAAGAAATGATGGTATCTACACCACAAGTGTATCATTTTGACAGACTGATGTTATTCGACAAACCAAATGCTTCATTCGTGACATCTATGACTAAGAAACTGAGTAGCATATATCTAATTGCTGGAGGATCCATCAGTTCCCTCAATGTTGCAAAAATCTCTCGTTAGTAAATGCTAATTAGCACAAAATCTAGATTGACTATGGTTTCCCTATCATTGACTACAACCATTGAATATTGATCTAATCCGTTAAGTACAACAAAACAATAACTATGATAGCAGCGAATTCGAAATAAAATATTCACCAGCCAGTCTACGAAAAGCCAAAAAACACCCGTCGACAGTTTAGTACTTTTATATAAGCATGGAAAGCGCTAAGAATTGGAGAATAAAATAAACGACTTACATTAAATGAATAAAACACATACAAAACCAAATAAGTATCCATAAACTAACCAGTTGTATATTCGGTCTCTTCATTATCGTCGTTATTTGTATTTCCAGTAGTATCAGCTAATGACCTAACATAATGTAAAATAGGAATTGATTATTGTGTGAACATATATGTTCATATGTGTAAAGCAATATTTAGTACAGTAAATAATATACATAATTAACCATAAATCAATCCAAGTTGGTAATGTGATTGATTAGATTTGGAATAAAAAAATGTAAAAATGTTATAATCTCAGGATGATGTAATGTAATTGGAAAGTTTGATTGTATATAGAATCGTATGTGAAAAATACTATCCAATTCAAAGTAATAATGTGAAACAGTTTGCTCATTGTATCTTTGATTTTGAATGATCTTTCTCTAATCAACTTTCATTTATTATTTAAGGAAAACTATTTTCAGATATTACAAATCTCGAAAAAAAACAACTTACAGTTCTAAATTATCAGTTTACGGTTGTGAAAATTATTGATTTTAAGTTGATATCATAAATGGATAAATGTTAGACAACCATTGAAAACCTGGAAGCATTGGACATCTGTTTCGTCCCAGTATGAGATTCCTCAGCAGTGAGCATCCACGGTCCCACACGTTGGACTCATACCAAAGAACTTCGGTCTCATGTGAAAACGCTTAAATGACATAATACAATGTCTTTGTTATCATTTCATTCAATCATATTCAACGTTAAATTGATATTTACAAATTGATTATGAATATTTTATTATCTCCAATTTCTTGTAACTGAAATTACTATTAGAGTTAATTAAGAAAACTATCTTCATAGATATGAAATGATAAAATCACATGTGATCTAATAAATAATAACAAATGACATTTTCTAATGAAAATATTAACATAATGAATCTTTAAAAAATGGTAAATGGATTGAAAAGTTAATTGAAACGAGATCATTTATGATTCATCGTAAGTTCTTAAACAACAATAGAACAAAACAAACAAGCATGAAATATAACGATTCAAGAATTTTGTATATAATGATGATGTATTAAGATATTTATGATGAAATTAAGAACAATTTTCAATAACTTCATTTCAAAGAGGTGTTCAATAACACAGATTCAAAGTTGAACTATTTCCGAAAGTATAGTGTTATATTATCAAATATTTACGAATACATACACATATACATCTTTTTAGGAATATAAATTATATCAATCAGCCAGTCAGTCAGTAAGTCTACTATATACATTGTAGAACTTGGAATATTTGTGTATCGGTTCAAGTTTCCACATCACATTGGCATAGTGTGATAGAACTATCAAGACATATTCCACAGTAATACAAGTAATTACAGCGTCACTAGTAGATATAAATAATATTTTCAGAAGGGGTTTTGTGGAGATTTTAGAAATTTCACTGATTGAAATCATGAGTCAGTTGAAGCTAGACCACCATGGAAAACCTTGAAGCACTGGACGGTCGTTTCGTCCTAGTATGGGACTCCTCAGTAATGCGCATCGACGACCCCGCACTATATTGATTGATACAAATTACGTTTAATCTTGATGTATGTCAAAATGGAAATTGTTTAAAATAAATACTTTACATATATATATGTAGTAACACCTAATTTGATAACCTATTTACATTCACATGTTGTCCAATAGACTGTTATACATTATATTACTCACTAACGTTTGGACTAAATGATGAAATAAAGAAGCAACCAATTTATAGCACAGCCGTAGAATGATAAATAATTTTATTCTGTAAGTTTATAACATTTGGATAGAGTTCTTATCATGATTGTTTAATCTTATTGACTCTAAAACAAACCAAGCGCATTTCAGATTAATAACCGGTGATAATCTTAGTGTAGCTTCCGTTTATATCACATATAAATAATAAACAAATACTAACTGTAATTGAATAAAATGTATTTTGATTTCTTAATTAAACAAGATCACTAAATAATAAATAAGAACTTTTGTCTTAATTTGATCGGATAGTTTCACAGTATTTGGCACGGAGTTAATGTGAGACATTTCCTTGAAAAAGTTTGGATCAGATTATCAGGCAAAACGTTAGATTTACTTCATATTCATTCACTGAGATTTTACAAATGCATTTTCTTCCACTTTAATGTTTCACATTAATTCGATCAAATTTAAACAAAAAAGTTCTTATTTATTATTCTGCAATCGTATCAAAATATCATGAAATGTTTCTCATTTCTCTTCTTAATTTTTCTTTATATATTGTACCATTTTTCTATATCTAAACTGTGTCATGTCCTTTGGTCTGTCTACCCACTTTTGGTGCTGAGGTCATTTATCTAATCTAGATTAAGACCTTGGCGCGATAGACTGACCGACCTAACCTTGAGGCTAGTACGCGTGAGTTCGAAATGGCGTAGAGAGAAGAAAACTATTCTATCACCTGATTGGCTGACAAGCATGCGAATGAGAGAAGACAAGACAAGTGGAACACTAATCGATCTATTCCTGATTTCAGATTAGTGTAAAAAGGTACATGAATAAATAGGTGACTAAACCGACCACAACATACAATAATTAGGAAAAATACAATTATGTCCAAAGCTGGGAATTAGAGTAGAAAATAAGCGTGGCTAAGAAGAGGAGGCAACGGCTCAATTAGAAAATCTATAATCGAACATCTTGTGAACACAGGTCACTCAATCAAGACAGACTCTGCGTTCAAAGTCATCTACAAGGTAAGTAGAAGCCTTTCTAAGACAATTAGACTGCATCTTCTTTGCATTGCCGAGGCAATAGCCATACATTTTGAAAAACAAGAATTATGTGTACAAAAAAGACTGGTACAACCTCTTCTTTTACCATGGTCTTAATGTATTAAAAATTTTTTTTCTCTTTCTTCATACTCTTGTTCTTTTACAGCCACCTGCTTCACCTTCCATCTTCCCTTCAAATCTTCTATCCCCAACCGGTTTGTTTTTATTTCCACGATCATTCCGATTACATTTCATCTCTGTTTCAACATTTTATGTTATTTTATCATGCTGGAAAAAAATCCATCCTTACCCGATGAATACTTAAGCCATTAACTATCAAACTTTCCTTGTTTAAAAAAATTTTTTTCTAATACCTTTGTTTATTTAACCTCACTGTCACCATGTATAAAAGAAGTTTATTATCAGTATTATTATCACCCTGTAAAAATAAGTATATATATTTGCGATTGTACAGCTTTGAAAATGAATTCGCCGAAAAGAGAACTCTTCGCTGAACTAATCTTTCTTTTTTATAGAAAATAGGATGCAAAATATCATATTTAAATTACAATAGATTCGGAGCAGAAAAGGGTATGGCAATGAATCATACACCGAACGAAAGCTTCTGTTCTGTAGAATAGATTAGGGACAAAAATAAATGTTAGTGTTTTACAAGCTTTGCATAAAATGAAATAACGTATTACAGTGAAGAATGAATAGAACAATAAAGAAAAATTAAAGCAAAATATAGTTGAATTTAAAAAAAAGTAAAGTACAGTTTTGTCACATTTTTTAGTCATCCTTAAATCATCAGTACAAGGTCGTAGAGATTACTGAGTTTTAATTGAGATTAGGAACCAATCAATATTAGACTATCATTTAAAAAAAAACTGGAAGCATTAAATGGTCATTTCGTCTTAGTATTGAAATCTTTAGCAGTTCACACCCACAATCTTGCATATGGAATTGGAACCATGGATATTCGGTCTCATGAGGACGCTTAAGCTTTAGATCATTGAACTGGCATCCAATGGTGTTAATGTCTAACTTCAACCAATACACGATATTGTATGACCATCTCCCATTACCTTTGGTGGGTAACTGACTCATCTATAAATTATTTGACGGATCATGACCAGGGTCAAAAGTATAGTGGTTTTTTTCGGTGAAACTATATTAAACAAAAAAGCTCGAATCATGCTAAGAGTGGCCTTAAGATTATGTCACTTATTAGATGCAGACAGTACGCAAGTCGTCAAAACCAAGAATCTGTGACTCGAAATATAGTGAAACTTCAGTGTATGTTGTGTTAGTTTTATGTAGTTTATGAGTTTCTTTTTTCAAAATGTATTATGAGTTTTTTTTGTCTTGAGAGAGATTATTTTAATTACATAAACTAATCTGTTCATGATAAAGCCAGATTATATTTAAACCCTTTATCTGGCCATAACTACGTTTCTGAATGATTTCTCTTACATGTCACGAAATTAGCGTAAAACATTATATAAAAGAATAACCTAAAGACGTCATGACACAGTAGTTTATGAATCATGTAAGTAAAATTCTTAACCTTTTTGATCGATTTTCTACAGTACCTGCGGTGCCTACAGGACTCTAGATAGGGCTCAGGGACTTCAATGATCGCAACGCGCCTAAATTTCTTTGTTTGATTCAGAAGGAAACATGTATATATACCTAAGATATTTGCACCTAAATATTTGATTCTGCCAATTACAGCTTCTTCGTCATTCTTCAGTCTCCTCATTCTCATAGTTGATTGAGCAAGAACATAGGAAATATGTGTAATACTAATAAGTAACTTCTTTAGGTATCGTTGCAAACATGATATCTCTAAGATACGGAACTGGTATTCAACAGTTACAGTATTTTTAAACTCAGTCAATTCAAGATAATGACATACTATATATAAATTTAAAAGTGTAATCACAACACAGAATTCAAAATATATTCAGACATACAACACCAATCATTAATGACAGATCATCAGATAAGTGTATAATTTATACACCAGAAAAGACAACACTGTCTGTATAACCAATAGCAGACTATTACATAAACATACCTGATTGAATCTTGACATATTTATCTATAAACTGAATATAGTAATTTAAAAGTCAAACTGAACAAAGTTATATGAAACAGGTAAACAAATCCATAATACAAAACACAATGATAGATTTACTCTGTTTTAATTTTTTTTAAAAGTATAAGATCTTTAGAAATGTTTTAAAAAGATTATGTATATCACAAAATTAATTCAGTTAGACAACCATTAGAAATCAGGGAGTGTTAGTCAATCAATTTCATTGTAACTTCTCAATAGTGTGCGTTTACAACTATAACATTGATGGAGACTAGAAAAAGCATTCTTCACGATTACCAAGTTATGCTTGGACTATTTTGACGGAATCCATTAGGACACGTTTTTTAACTTCGGTTAATTTATCACATCTATAATTATATGGTCATAAGTGATTAACATTAGTGAGAGTTCTTTAAGTTCTGTTGAGAAAAAGTAACCTGTATAGTTCAACTACATAAGGAGTGGGAGATATTAATGATAGTACAGGATGATCGTTGGGCAATATTCCTAATTGACTGGAATTAGATATATGGGCTATTAGATGGGGACTTAGTCAAAAGTTTAATAGCTCCCTAATAGGCTTGAAGGTTTGATCCTCAATTCCTGGTGGAGTCGTAAGTGCGCACTGTTGAGAAGTCCATTATTAAAACGAAACATTTGTTCAATGCTCTCATGTTTTCAATGGTTATCTAGTCGAAATCAGTTCGTGATATAAATCTACCTTCAAACTGAACAGTTTATATAAATAACTAAATGAAAATATATCATATATGTATATTAACATTTTACTTTATAAGTTACTAAACTTACTCTGAAGTTTCTTGCTGATTCTTCATGTCTATATATTTTTGGTCTTGATTTTGTATTGTTTCCTTTAACGTTTCACTCACAGGTTTGTCAGTGTATATAAAAAGAAGAGTGATTTTTAAAAAAGTACAAGTAATAGCTACAATTCCATCAGTAATTGCATATTACCGATAAAATAGTTAACCTTTATGCACTATCCTACATAGCATTACATTACCTTAGTTACAAAACTGATGAATAAGGTAAATAAAATAATTAAGTGAATAGATGGACTGTGGTTAACAGTAATGTCCGCACAGGACGGACATATGCCAACTAAAATTGCCATCAGACAAATGAAATAGTATAATAAAATGAGTAAGAGAAACAACACAATGCAAATATGTTCAAATTAAAATTATGTGTATTATTTAGGAGATAAAAGGTATCAGCACGTTAGTTAATATGATTCTTTTAAAGACATGAAACTAATTAATTTACAAGTACTAATCAGTAAAACTAACTTATATGGGCGAGCTAATCAGATATGAGGCCCAACTCAGTCAGTCTGAAAACAATTAATGTGAATGAATGATTTAGAATTAGAGTCAAGATGAAGGTTTAGGATTTATAATTACAATCATCATTTAAGGTTATGATTTAAACTTAGGATAAGGCTTTTTGGGTAGTTTATGTATACTCTAGTCATTATTCCTAAATCTTATATTTTAAATTGTAATCTTAACAAAATTCCCATACTCTTCATCCCAATTTTAATAACCCTAAATTTGGATCTTAATCTTAACTCTAACCCTTAACTTATATCATAAACTCTAAAGTTTAATTCTAAAGCATATTTCGATTTCCAACTTTCATCTTAAGTATCAAACAATGTTTTCGACATTAAAACTCATCATGTACATTAGATAGACAATAATCTATTTTGACATATGCACTTTAATCAAGAAGTAATCTTCTCGTCCTTTATAAGTAAGCCTTATCATATTGATATTAACCTTTCAATATGGTATAAATTTAACCAGAACTCGATAAGTATTATGAAAATAATAATAATAATTAAATTATTTCAAATTCAGTAATTAGTTAAAACATAAACTATCAAGTTGTTTTAATATAGTTCATCATATTCATTTAATTAATTAATATAAATGATATTTATATAAAACCTAAGTCACATCAAATTGATCTAGATTAGTCAGTTACTAACAAGTAATCAATATTATATGATTATTATTTTTGTTGTTGTTGCATGTTGACCAAATTATATATCAACTAAATTTATAACGTGATCTGTATCGTTACTGATTGAAGTATATAAGATGACCATTATAGGGACCGTCAATGCTTATATTACAAATGATAAATTGGTAAAGAGTCAGTTAACTGTATAAAGTTATGCAGAAAAAAAATGTTATCATTTGAATACATAAACAACCTACATAGCTATTCATTATGATTTAAATAAAGTTCCTAGTTTAAAACCTATAAGGAGAATTAATTTTATTATTATTTGGTAAGAGTTAATTCACAAGTATATCGTGTTATTATAGTTGTACTGGATAATAGTTTCTGTGACGGACAAATATTTAAATGATATTCTTATGAAATTTTTGTCCAACAAAGATTGGAAGCAAATAGATGGAATTATTTAAAAAAGATTTATTCACAATTGACTGATCACTGAGTGATGATCAATATCCTGTGTGTCAATTCCTTCTTAGTGTAGATCGAATCCTGTCGACCAAGTTGCTATGTGGCCACTAGTCTAGGTGACTGGAAAGCTGGGTGACACGTGATCGAATCCATCAGGGAGCAGCAATCCCCTCAAGATTACAGGTACACCTGACTGACGAGTGCCAAATAGCACGAAACCCGAGTACAAGGTTTCCTGTTGACTACCTCTAACCGCCATATTATCTCAAAAAAGATTTATCCGCAATCTTGTGAAACGATCCAGTGAGAAATGGCTTAATTAGTTAGGAAATATGTCATAAGTTGAGATGTTATGCAATTAAGAATCAAATAAAAAATGTACCGTTTGGTCAAGATGAAAAAACTCTTGAAAAAGATGAGTACATGATTAGAAATGTTTAGTTGGAAGCGGGGGCGAGCAGGGCATATATATATATATATATATATATATATATATATATATATATATATATATATATATATATATATAACGTTTAATTAATGTAGCTCTTGTGTAGAAGAGGAGATAAAGAAAAGATGAAATCTTAAATTCTATTATACGGTGAATTACTACGTTTATTTTTACAGCGCAATTATTAAATACTTGATTGATGGTATTTTCCTATTATCCTAATTATAAACTTTCATTTAATTGATTAATCGTTGATATATGTTTTTCCATTCCAATATTATTGCTAATCAGTTATTCACTAGTTGTTCAGCTTCTCATGCTCGGTCATGCACAAATTATAATTTCTTAATTGTGATGAGTTGTGGTTGTGTAATGAACGTACAAGATGATGACTTTTGCAATCATAATGATAGAAGGTATTTCGGTTTGCTATGTTCACCTTCTGATTGGTTATTGAGGATATAAGAAAACTAATGATGAATAATACAATGTTACAACCCTTATATTCGTCATTTTTGGAAGGATAAATAAATAAGTAAGCAACTAGTACAACGTGAAAATATGCCTAGTTATCTGTTGAAGACCTTAGCTGAATTTAATTTTCAAATCATCTATATTTTCAAAAATTGTACGCGTATTAATGATCATCTTGAATAAATAGGATGATTGATATCTAAAATATAGTCTTAGTCGACTGTAAATAATGTGTAACAATCTTCCCTTAATTTAATATGAAATGGCTAGATATATTTTCCGCAACGTAATATCTATGTAAGATCAATATGTTTCTAATTTTCCACATTGTTAATGATTTAGTGAATACTTTACAAATATACTTTAGTGATCAACTTACTTAATAACTCTGTTTCTGATCCTGAAATTTTTGTGCCAGATTCATTGACTTGATTCTCTGATGCATCTTCTGTCAGATTATTTAATTTCTGTTTATTATGATCACGTCGTTGCTGACGATAACGTTTGTATAACATTTCAGAATAACTAACTGCCAAACGAAAAAGACGATGATATCGATCGCAACAATATCCTTCATTTGATAAATGAAATGGTTTTGTCAATGTAGACGACAGAATTCGGCCACAAAATTTACAATTTTTACTACCATCTGCTATCGCAATTCGTTTAGCGTATGTTTGAGCCAATGAAGATAGTTTCAACTGTTCTTGATTATTTCTACAACATATATCTTTTACAACCTTTAAACAAGTGACAATCAATGCGAGAAAAAAAGTCAAGATTACATAATTGCAAAATTAGGAAACATGAATAACGCAAATGAAAAGATGGCGAACCGAAAAGCATGATTAATCTTAGATCAAATGAAGTAATTTCTTCAATGTTGATTGGTTACCATGACTCTTAGAATACTTGCTTCGCCTTGAAACCAATGTTCTGATTGGATGAATATGTGATAGACATATGTCTGTTTTTCATGTTTATGTTTTCAACCTTATTGGGTTGCGAATTTTTGACGTGTCTTGTGCAACAGGATATAGGGGTTGTCTAGAGAATTAAAAAACAGTCTTCTTTAATTAGTTCATGTTACTCTCACCATGTCATTAGTGTTTGTAGTGCTGTCAAAGTTCCATAAAAAAAACCCGGATAAGATGGACTTACTTGAATGTACGCTCAATTAATACAATATTTGAATAAACACTTGAAATAAACCTCAAAAATTTAAGTGAACACTATCCGTAGTGAAATGTTTGCACCATGTTTCTAGAAAAATATCCATTCAAATGTCAATTACTGAGGTTATGCTTGGTTAATAACAACGACAGTATCTTTGAGTATTCTTTTTGAAGAACTTAGTGCCTCATTTTAAAAAGAAAAAAAAAGACTACCTATGACAGTAAGGATTTTGCAAAAAAGGTATAGATTGTTAGAATATTGTGAACAATTGAGATGCTAGGTGGTTGGGAGGGAACTCTAGACGTATATGTTATGCTAGTTGGGACTTTTGTCCAGACTGAGTACCTGTATAATTATGAAGGAAATTCTGTGGAAAAATAATTTTGTCTTAATATTATTTCACTTGAATTTTATTAAGGAAAGGTTATTTACAGACGTGTTCTATCCTACTAAGAATATCTTGACAACTTGAATGTGATCTCCACATGTTCAATGGCACGGGTTTTTGACGTCATTATCTGCATAACTTAGCCGTTGGATTATATAACATGAAATTGGTGGGAGTAGGGCATTTGTACTCATTTGCTATCTACCTCTTGAGCCAATTATCATTTCTGAATTTTCAGTAATCGATCATATTTGTTTTTGTTGTGTTTAGATCTTAATTGGTCTCGATATAATTCTTCCAGATCTATAGTATTCATTTTGTTAGTTTGACTTGAGTTATGGCAACTTGGACCGATGCACACTTGTGCCGGGTGTTAGGCTGATAGAAACTGATGCGAATTGGTATGAATAATGAATGAAAATGGAGAAAAAACACTTATTTTTTCAATACAAACAATATTGGTTGTCCATATCTATAATTTAAATCTATAAAATAAATTTAATTCAGTGATTAAGTACATTATGCACTCAGTCTTGAGGTGCACTATTTTGTATGAACACTAAAAAAAACCGCTATTTGGCTGTGCAGTCTGTCAGTTATAAGCAATGTAGAATCTGTCACACGTATTCAAGTCGTCACACCACATCAGCAAAATGAGTTGAAATTATCAAGACAAATTCCAGAACAGTAGAAATGTGGTGTGTGCTAGTTATGTCGATGGATATAAGTACTATGTATCATCAATCAAAAGTGCAACGCCTGGCAGTAAAAGGTTAAGGAGATCAAAGAAAAAAGAACGAGAACAGAGAATGATTGGTGTGGAAATGGAGGAACAATAAAGTTTGAGACGACTGGTTGACATTTTGCAACTGAAGTATTTACTGTACGGTTTTCAAATTTTACTAAGATGTTCTGTAATTTTGTATTAAAATACATTCGATTGTCCCCGCTTGTGTTCTCGTTCACTACAGTAGTAACAGTATCCGTAGAAGTGGACTAGATTTGACATAGACAATATGATCCGAGAAAGAGAATCAATCCGTGGAACAAAAGTATAAACATTTCAACACAGAGATTGAATGCATTTGTGTCTTTACGGTCGATTATGAGCCACCGTCAAATGTCCCCAACTGTCGGTTACAGTAGTCGCACGCACCCCATTTAGGTAGTCTGTATCCATCTACACAGCCCACCCCAACAATCAATGATTCCATGGACTGATGTCAAGTCTTGGCTTGACTGTCTAAATCAAATTTGTTCAAGTCGGATCCGAACCTGTAATTCATTGACTGAATGTTAAGTATAAATTAATCAGTAGGACCAGTGCTCTATATTCCAACATACATATTACAAGATAATGTTGTAACGTATAGTATATTGGATAAAATCGTGGTTTAATTGTAATAGCCTAACTAAAGATTTGGTTACATAATAAATACTTAAACACCTAAAGGATTATCTATTCAAAGAAGGAGCAACTGTCTCAGTGACTAAATGTTTTATTACAGATTAAAGCCATCACTGTAATAAATAAAATATTCAATCGAATATTATGTACCTATCAGTTAATATGAATGATTAAATCAAGAAGTGAATCTAAGTCATAAAGTAACTCATGATTTTCCCATTTTGGTTATAATAACAAATGACTTTAGGCCTAGCACATTCTCTTACTCATCTGACTAGGTCAGCACAACTTAAAGGGTTCAACAGGTGAGGCCGAAAGTAAAGAATAAACTTCATGTCTGTCTAATTAAGTCTGGCCTATCAAATAATCTTGCCTTGAAATCTACTCCAGAAGGAATTGATATTTGCTCTATTGACCAAATCATTCGGGAGAATATTGGATATATACGAAAGCATATTATAAAGCGACTATCACTGGTCACTGGACTTCCGTCTTTAAAGTGAAAATCGTGGATTTTTTGGAGTTAGACATCAATACCGTTGGATGGTCTAGAGGTTAAGCGTTCACGCGTGAGACCGATAGGTCCTGGGTTCGAATTTCGCGGGCGGGATCGTGGATGCGCGCTGCTTAGGACGAAACGGCCGTCTAGTGCTTCCATGTTTTCCATGGTGGTCTAGCTTTAATTGACTCATGAATTCAACTATTAAATTACTAGAATCTAAAATGTCATTAAACTTTTTTGATGTCTGATTAATGAAATTTCGAGATAAAATAACATTACTAATTCATTAACTTACTTGTAATATATAAGGAAAATTAAAATTATTGTTTACATTTTGTTCATTTTTTACACTTTTGAAATTATCAACTTTATCCAAACTATTAGGAATATTAACATAAGCATAATTAATCCAATTAGATATTGGTTTATTTATCCATTCACGATTTGTGTATTCTTCCTTAGTAGGATACTAAGTGTAAAAGAGAATTTTGAAAGAAAATAATTAATTAATTAAAGCATAACAAATCTGTAAAAAGAAAAAAATATGGTGTAGCATGGTATAAAGACAAGGAAATGGTGAAAAACACTCCGAGATTGTGTAAATGAATGTTTGGTGAGACCTTTGAGTGACGCTAAAGTGACTTTGAGTGTGTCTACCTACTTACTAGGGCTAAGTAAGGGTTATAAATCAGTTTGAAGAATAAGGATTATGATTTATAGTTGATAGTTAGGGTTAGGAATTAGATTTAGGGTTTTCATCACGAACTGATATCAGCTATAATGCCAGGATTTTATTTAGCCAAATGGGTGAATGAAATTCGCTCCAAAATCTAAGACCTATTATCGTAAATCTGATTGGTTCGTCCATAAATTATAGTCTCGCCATTATTAAGAAAAACTCTATTTGTTATAACAGAATAAACGTATAACATGTACAGATTTTACATTATATATGAATGGGTCAGTTTCTATTTTTATTCACCTTATTTTTAATAAACTAACGAATAAATAGATAATCATTTTTACGCACAAATTTTCCATATCAACTTGATGACAATGATGGTTCTCTTATAAATTCATGACCATAACTTATTAAAAGATTTCTTTATTAAGATTTTGTAAGTGATGATACATTTTACATAAAACTATTTTTACTTACCAGAAAGAAAACTCTAGTGTGATACATAATGACAATCAGAATAATTAGATTATTTACTTATATTTCTATAATATTAAGATTAGTTAATTGGTTATCAGTCTAGTAAAACCAATAAAACTATTCAACTCCAAGATGTTTCTCTTTCGTTCTGAAATACTTTTGATACATACAAACTATCCATTGTCTGAAAAGTGGTTTTAAAATCACATGACTATTTCAAGAATCATTTAATCTAATGCCTATACTACACCTTTGCCGAGTGGATCTCATTAGAACAATCATGTGTTTAGTTTTGAAACAATTAACAAAAGAATAATATTAGATTGTTTCGATAAGTTTCATGTCCATTTAACCTTGATTATTTATTTGTTAACTGACATAACCAATGGTTATACTACTTTGATTAGATATTTTGTGCAAAACAATAATCACATGATCGTTTAATTTGTTGACAGTTCTGATGTTTGTAACTGATTTTGCCATTAAGACAATATAAATAATAGCTTGGAATAAAAATAAACATACACAGGAAATAGAAAAACTATACAAATTAAAACTGAATTCAAAGAACATCACTAACTATGTACATCTGATTCAAATTTGTAACTACTGAACTACACTTTGTTGTATACTAATTGATCAAACGTATATATTTCGGTTACGTATTCACTTCAAATTGCTTAAAAAAATAGTCCTTAAATGGTTGTAAGAATTTGTATGTATGTATGCTAAATAAAACTTTGTAAACATTACGGCCAAAATGAAATGGTTAACAATAATTTAAACTTTATTCTGGGATTAACGGTAAGCTGTAAATTATAAGAAATACAGAACAAATGCCTTTAACTCAATCGTGCATGTCATAAAAAGAAAATTAATTCTATTTTGCCATCGTCCTTTAAGAGTGTGATGTGTGCTACTCATCTTGACAGATATAATTAGTATGTATCATGAATCGAAAGTGAAATGCCTGGCAGTAGAAGATCAAAGGGAACGAGAACAAAGTATGGTTAATGTGGAATCGAAAGAACAATGAAGTCTGAGACGATTGACTGACATTTGTCGAAGGAACAGTCAAGTTTGAAGCAATTGATTAACATTTTGCAAATGAAGTATTTACTGTATGATTCTCAGATTTCACCAAGATGTTCTGTAATTTTGTATTAAAATACATTCAATCGTCCCCATGAGTGTTCTTGTTTACTATAAGAGTACTAATTGGGCAATATTTTCTATGAAGAACAATAGACAGATATAGATAAGATGTTAATTAGTTAACATTTTTAATCTACATGATAATCCTGTGTATCAGGAAATTTTTAGCTTAGTTATAGATGTCTTCACACAGGGCTACTGACAAGGGATTAAACCAGATATAGAGATTTATTTATCATTATGACGTCAAGAAAAGACTAGAAATCAGATAGTCAATAAAATCTAAGAAGCAGTATGGGGGTTGTGGAGATTGTTAAGTTATTTGATTGAGATCATGAATCAATTGTTAGACCACTTTGGGAAACCTGGAAGCACTGGACGGCCGTTCCGTCCTAGTATGGGACTCCTCAGCAGTGCGCATCCACGATCCCGCCCCCCGCGAGATTCGAACCCAGGACCTATCGGTCTCTAAGAAGTTCGAAATGGTACATGAGTTATGTTTATTAACTATATATCTCCACTGGTATATACCATGAATTAGCTTAATTGCTAGCGTACTCTTTACTGATTCTGGAACATTATAAGCTATTATAGACTACTTTATAAACACATGGTGAGAATCTTCATCAGTGAAAACCGGTGTACATTTTACCCATGATATCTCTTACTAAAATCTAAATTTAGGTAGGTACATCATTGTTAGAAAATTACTTATACGCAATAAATATCTGGATTGAAAAAATAGTTTTCATTTTTTTCATGTTAATTCATCGGTGACATAGTGTGTGTTGGCCAGAATTTTTAATTTTCAATTCACTACTAAGACCCCCTAGTTTATCTCTATATGTATCAATAAAAAACCTACCATTGTCATAAAAGAATTTGTTTTCAAAGATAGGAAGGTCAAATAATTTTAAACTGGATTTGTTGAGCGAATCAGTCATTTTCAACAGTTTACCGAATATAGATTCACCTTGCTAATATATACAAACAAGTATGAAATAAAGGTTAAAATCTTTTGGCAACTGCTTTCAACTGTTAAGCTAAGAAATGAACGTTAATTCTTAGATACTCTTATTGGTTATGACCATTGCTAACGACTCAAATTGCTGCTTAAACGCCCACCACATCAACCTCGTCTTATGTGTCTGTAGACTGTCCTTGTTGCGTGTGACCTTCCAGTTGAAGGACAATATCATACCATATTAGTGTGGCTGAGACTCATAATTTTCTATTCACTTCTATACGATACGCAATACTGAAACAGATAAAGTGGTCAGTACCGTGTTTACAGTTCTGATAGAATATCTGCTGGACGAAATAAATCCAACAACTCCCTTGATTATTTATCGGTTTTCTTGCTGATACGTCTAATAGACTTACTTCTTCCTTATCAGAAGACGACTCTGGTGCACTTTCCACTCCATATTCATCGTCCACATATTTAGCCGGAGCAATGAGTTCGATCGGAGTTTTGCGAAATGATACAGATTTTCCTGGAAGAAAGAATTCATCTAATATGAATGAACATACTCATATTATCAAAATCCATAATTTCGTTCTCTTCTCGATTTTCTGTGTATTCGTCACCCAGAATATCTATATCTTCAGTTCCTTCACTTGTAACAGCAACTACTAAATAAATTATTCACAAATTTTATTGCAATGCTGCTCATCTACTATCTGAGTCAACTTCAAAAGGTATATACATATCCTCTTCATGTGTCTGAGTGGAATGACACTTGAATGTTCGTTCGACGCCATCATAGCATAAGATAGAGTAATATTCTGTCTCCATGATGTGTAAAGTTAAACGAATGAATATTTTTTCTTTATAACGAAGCTTAATCTGAGAATAATGAAAATGGGAGTTATTTCAGTCATGACGGAGTTCTCGTAGCTAACTATGACAAAAAAATGCTTTTGTAAATAAGTTATTTTTGGCACTCGCATTACTGTATGACACAAATTTCAAAATGAAAATACCAACAGCAGCTGTAGCAAAAAAGCGTGATACAGTATCCACTGATCAGTAGATCAGTGTAAAAAGTGAACGATAGAACGTGGAAGACGTTTGAGTGATCGTATATAAAAATATCAACTGTAAAAAGAAGGGTAAGACAACATACTAGACTTCCAACTAAGTATATAAACCAATCCATATAATAACACCATAACATAGAAGGTGCTTAAACATCCGATATTCTTAAATTTAATGGGAACCATGTATTAATGCATGTATATCATAAGATTGAAAACTTGATCACAAGAATAATGATAGCATAAACAATATGAAAGCCCCTACAATTTTTAGATTTTTAATTCAAATTAACTGCGTTTAATAGCTAATAACGGTCAATGTTGGTTTAGAATAGACATCTGGAGCAAAATATGTTGAGATCGTACCATTTTCTAGCCCAAATTTACAGCATCTATACTGTTAAGCTGAAATTATCCGATTTCTGGTTGAACATAATACAAGTGATTTTCTCACTATAGCATATTGTTATCGTCAATTCAGTATGAAACCCGGTGGATCCTGTTAGCCACTGCAACTATTGAAAATTCCATGAGCTAAAGACCACTTAAATAGTTTGCACAAGCTGAAGCAGCTTTTAGTGAGCATTGTTTGCATAAAGCCTTAAAATTACACACACTTGGACTTTGTGTTTCTTATCATCGTCCCAGCGAAAGTGGAAGATATCGCTGACCAAGTCTCGACGATGCCATACTATGATTAATTAAAAGCATCAGTCATGATATGTACTTCGGTTCTTGAAGAGAAGCGGTCATAGAAGTTGTTGGTTGTCTTTAATTCCAACAAAGAGTAGCTATCACTTGCTTGCTCATGTGAACTGCTATTGAACTTCCTCATCCGAATCTGACCTATATCTCTCAGACGTAAAGACAAAAGCATTACGTCTAAAATCCCACTTTCTGAAATACAAAATTAAATAAATTTGGATCCTTCCGATAGTTAATGCTTTATAACACTCCCGTTGATATATTTTCTAACTATCTCAAACTTTTTCGATTCTAGTGTACCCCAGGGCACCATCTTAGGCTTTCTATTTTTCCTTCTCCACGTTAATGAATTACCGCTGTTGCCTAAGTCGTCGAAATTATTGTTTGCGGATGATACGGAAATCCGGAGAACAATATGAAGTGAAACTGATTGTTTGGATCTCCAAGCTGACATAGATGAATTAGTTAGATGCGCTTGAGGTTGGGGCTTAGAAGTTAATTCTAGCAAGAGCGTGTTCATGCACATCGGACACGGTAGTACTTATCATTATAACATTGATGGTACATCTCTTCCACGCGTTCAAGAACATAAAAATTTAGGAGTAACAACAGGTCATGACTTGAAAACAATTACACATTGCAACGCAGCTGCTGCTAAAGGTTATCGTGAGTTATGGTCACTTCGCCGAGCATTCAAATGCTTTGACAAGGAAATGTTTCGAATTTTATATCCTACCTATGTAAGACCACACCTAGAGTACTGTATTCAAGCAGCTAGTCCATGTCTGATAAAGGACACCAACTCACTTGACCGTGTTCATCCTGTGAGAACAGAATTAGTGAAGGATCTTTCTAAACTCCTTACTATGAGCGCTTAAAACGCCTAAACTTTTCCCCTTATCGTACCGTAGGATGCGAGGTGACCTTATACTGGCATTTCGTATCTTTAACTATGATTTGGGTGTCAATATGTCTTATCTGTTTTCTCCCTCCAGCACTAATAATCTTCGAGGTCATAGCAAGAAGGTTCACAAACCGCGATCTAACAAGCTTAAAGTGGGGTCCCGTTTTTCTCATCGAGTAGTCAATGACTAGGACGCCTTACCCGAAAAAGTGGTATCAGCTTCATTAGTGAATATTCTCAAAGAGAAGCTGGACCTTCATTGAAGGGCAGTCCGTCGGGATTAACACAGGTTCATCAACCTACTATCCTTATTACTGAAGAATGACTTAAACTTGTTTTAGAACATTGGCCTAGATACTCTACCCGTTAGATTCTGTAACCAAAATAAGTAATTATTCAAATAATTTTTTGATGTACATCAAGGCTATAGCCAAAGCAAGCCAAAGAGGGAAAATAAAAACGAACACTGAGAAAATACAAGGGAACGCACCAAAAAGTTTCCTTTTTAGCACGGCGTAAGGAAAAAATGGAACATTTCCCTCTTTTCGTCACCCTGTGTTGGCAATATTACTGCTCTGATAGCGAATAGTTTGTCTTTTGCCCTAATATCCACCTAAGTAGACAATTCGATGTAGATTCAGCTATATTTCTGACCCAGGGCAACAAAAGAGGAAAAAACACAATATTTGTTTACGGTAGGAGATAGAAAGGATTTCCTGGTGCGTTTTCCCTTTTTCTCTTCCTCGTTTACTCAGGTAATTTTCTTTTTAGTCTTCTTCTTGATTTGTTTGGGTTATATTGTCATACACCTTAAGTCGATTATCCATAAAAGAGCACGAATAATGTGTCTGTATGGACGAAGAATGAAGATATGCGAATTATCTGGTTTCATGTTTTATAGCCGAGAGTCTGGCTGTAAATATTTTCATAAATCTCAGATTGTCAATGTGGGCCATAATTACATCACTAATACAGCGATGCTAAATACATCACCAGTACAGTATGTTTTTTTAATATCTTGGAACAATTCCTTTTCACAGGATAAGCAGTACTAGTAATAATGGATTATATATATATACAATATGTACTAACACCAATTTCGAAAATGTTAACATTCATTTGCCCTTCTAATCGCCGATAGTGATTCGTTGATCAAGCAAATACCTCAGGCAAACAATAAGCAGAGCAAGTCAATTCATAGGCAATCATTAACATGGAATAATGAGCAACAATCAAGGAAGCAATATCCTATTTCGGGAAAATTTCGATAGGAAACAGTTCTTTTTCTGAAGTTTATGGGTCTTCATTGGTGAGCCAATAATCTGAAGTTTTGAAGATCTTCCTGTGAGTTTCAGTCTTTTTGAACCTTCTATATTTTTTCACACATGCGAAATTTTTTTCTTTTGATTTTAAGTATCTCGTTCTTATTTGGTAATATTAGTGATTGCATCTATAAAGGTAAATTTCACAGATTTTGACTGTGTAAACCTATGTTCTATTCCTCTACACTACATGACTAGTGCTGCCTAAGCGGAAACAGTAATTCAGACCAGTCCTATTTAGTCTGTCAGGTCAGTGAAATGTCACTGAGACCTAGCCAAATCATCCAACAGTCGGGTCTCTGAACAACAAACGGTTCATCGATCCTCTTCAATAGCAAGGAGAAACAACACACACTAATTAGTTGCACAACTTGGACAGATACAAGTGGCAGTAATCTTACTCTGTTTCTTATAAATATTCTTAATAATAAATTTACGTTAAACGTTGTTTTTACTATAGGGTCTTCAAAGTGGCCATATCACCAGGTTACGAAGAAAAGATAATTTTCGTCAGGCATTAACCGCAATTTACGCCATTTTCGTCTAGCTTGAATAGTCCATCCATCACCTATACAGATCGAACAAACTAGTGATCTACACTGAGCAAGTGTTTGAGCTACGCAACTTAGTAAGATAATTATCTTCACTAATGTGTGTTTTCGTATGCCTTCATCGCATAAAATTGTCGATTAGTGCGATGTGATATTTAGGATGGGAATTTTTGCTATACTGCGTACAACTTGAGAACTAGTATGCTTGAACCCTCGAAGTCACAAGTTAGAAGACAGAAGACGAGTGGAAAAGAATCTTATTCCATCCAGTTGTTGATGTCACAGGTATTCAGTGTTTGACAACGCTTCTACCAGTAACACCTTCTAATATATTTCGTTCCCGCCCAGAGAAATCAAAAGACAGAGTCGAGGAGATCGGAAGAGTATATTTGGCGATGACCAATATATCGGAATTCTCTGATCTAATCTGGCTAGCGATTGCGGTTGATGTTGAGCACGGCGTTACCACACGTGATCTGGTGCGGATGCCTGACCGAGCGCCTTCAGCTAGGTGAGTCCACTAAAACATATGGTCAGCATCCAATGTCGAAAACTTAGTGCTATTTATTTTGGGGATTTATTTACCGCTACAGATCACTCCCCCCTAGTGGGCCAGTGACGACCCTAAGACGTGGCCAGCCAGAAGTTTAAACCCAACGAGTTTGTCGTTGGTAAACACTCTTCTGATAGCTTACTAAATTTAGCAGCGTCTGGTCGTCTTTCCTTACTATATGGGACGGAGGTACAACATAGTAAAAAAAGAAAATGTACATGGAAAATTTCGGATCCTCATAAACGTCATCGTTCTTTTCCAGCCGTCCTGGAAAAGAAAAAAGAAAATGTAAGTGCATGTAGAAATACACTCGTATGTGCGTAAAAGCACAATGTCGGCGGAAAAAAAATGGAAAATAAACTCATGAACACGTAATAGCGTTAAAAAAATTGTTTTTTTGTTTTTTTTTTTAAATAGAAATAAAAATATATAAGCATATTAAAATTGTTTTTTTTTTAAAAAACAATATAAAATGTCGAGAAGTGCCTTACGTGCAATAGTCGTTTAGATGTTCTGGAAATCTCACCCTTCTTCCAGAACGCGTCGTTTTAAGTTTATTTTCGGATACTGTCGAAGTATCATCGTGTGTGTTGGTTGTCGGATGAGGTATTATAAGTGTCGGAGTCGTGTCGTTCGATTGTACCGAAGGAAAATCCACGTAGATAGGATTTCCTTCTAAATACGCTGCTTTTAAGCGATCGATACTGATGCTATCGTTGGTTC